AAAGTTTATCAGTTTGAACATTAAAAATCTTGTCTTTGTGGTGTATTAAATTAAATATGGGTCAAAAAGGATTTGCAAGTCATTGTATTCTGTTTTTATTTACATTTTACACAATGTCCCAACTTCATTAGAATTAGGGGTTGTAATATTATAATTTGTAGGAGACAGGGCTTGTATGTGTGAAGATGCCAGAGCTGAAGGATACGAGGTCTGCAGAGCAAGTAGCTGTGCGACAAGCAGATCCAGCTGGGTGTTGGTCTCCTGACAAGTGGCAGTGGGCGTCAGTGACTGAGTAGGAGGGGAGATGATTGGCCAGTGAAGCTGAGTCAATACTTCCTCAAAATCACTGAGAAAGAATTGAAGAGGAGGATTTAGCTCATATTGTGAACCTAGGATCAGGACACAACAACACAGCATGTGTTTTTGCATTTCAATCCGTCACAAGAAACACTGTGTGCATATACACCTGGACAGTCGGTATTTGATGATCTTGTGCCAGAAGTGAAGTGTTTCTCGGAGGAAGTCCTGGAGATGAGAACACCCAGAGTGGTCGAGTCCAGCGTCTAGTGCAGCCATGCTGTCTACTGCCCTTATGGCCTCCCAGATACTGCTGGTCATCAAACACTGCTGAATTGTATCACTGCAGGGCACACAACACTTCACACATTACTGCTTCTATCAAACAAACAAATACAAAAACAAATAAAATGCCACCAACTTTCAGGATCACTTCAAAGGAGAGAATACTGAGATGCTTTGCATCCTCGATCTTAACTTGCCCGTTGGACTGAGGAGGGCTCGTGAAAAAGTGTGTTAATGTTCATGGGGCTGGACCACACAAGTCAATGCCTCATTTAGTGGATATAACTCAGTTGCCTTTGGGTTCATTAAAACAGTTTGTAGATGGCATTATTATCTCCACCAAAGAGGTTATGTTATTACCACTGCTGGTTGGTTTGTTTACAGCATAACTCAAAAAGTAATGAATAAATTTTGATGCATTTTTTTTGGAGAGGTAGGGTATGGCTGTGGAAAAATACACTGGATTTTGATGGTGATGTGATGATGCTCTGGATGACAAACCAAATCCACAATTTTTTAATGGTATTATGAGGAAACTGAGCTGCCTTGGCAGAGGTTTGCTGTCTAGTTACATATCTGACTCTTATTATGAAATATAAAACTTGAATATATATTTGTTGTTCAAGTGTGTGGTTTTGACAACTTTTTTCACCTGAATAATGTCCTGCTCTGTATATATCTTGGTCAGCTCTTCAATAACTAACTGTAAGAGATCCCTATATTTATGTTATTGTGTTTCTATTAAAAAAACTGAATAACAGCTGATAGACAGATTTTTTTTTTTAAACAATCAAAGTTTAAAAGCCTTAATAATCTTGTTTTATTCAGGCTCCGAGCCTGATGTACATATTGTGCCACTGTTCCCCTCAAGATTTGTGAGTACATTTTGTCTGTTTTAAAAACACTTGATGCCATCCATCTATTACAGCACAGAGCCAGAATGTATATCGTAATTTTCATATTTTGATTTCTTTCTCAGTTCTCACAGCTCTATCATGTCACTCTCAATTTGTCTTTGACAACTAATCAGTGTCTTCATGACTTTACCCTCATTTACAGTACCTGAGCTCCTCTACATGTTGAAGGCAGCGGAGATATTTCATGTGTCTCTCTATGGTGTCAACTTGGTTAAGCGTCTGGCTGAGATTATCCATCCAAGGCTGAGCCTCCTGTAGGTGCTAGAAGACAAAGCAATGAACCACCTAACATAATGGCATAAGTGAAAGGACTTTATAGTTTCTGGAATATTGCTTGCTTCACTTCTCTGTTAAAGTAAGTAATTTATAGAAAAACATTTGGTATTAACACTTGTAATACATAGGGGGGAATCCACTGAAAACAGCCAGGACAAGGTGATTTGTAACAGACTGACAGGCACTATATTATCAGTGAGTAACAGACACCTTCTTTTTTATTTATTCAAATCGTTAGGTAGTTTCCTTGTTTTCTCAGAGGTGGCTCTACCTGGTGCAGCGTGTTGGAGATAAGCTGCTCTCTCTGCAGCAGGTCCTGTAGGGAACATCTGGCCTCCTCAGCAGCAGACAGGGCTGCAGAAACTTTAGGAGGCACAGAACTGGATACAGTCAAAACCTGAATAATACAAATGATAGGGTCACTGCTTATATTTGACATAGTAATGAACACAGATGGCTTTCCAGCTAAAACACTGCATAAAACCTGTAGTAAAAGGTTAAATGTTTACTTCACCTTTTCATTTTGCCTTCATCTGCTTACATGCAAAAACTACTGAGAATTCATTAATAAACTATTTGTAACACCCACAGGCAACTGCCTCTTGATTCACACATTCCCTATCGTTTTATCTCCGAAATGCGTTAAAGAAAAATGAACAAATTTCTGTGTAGAATAGCTCTTAAGAGCCGTGACAAAGTGTAGTCACTGTCCCTTTACGAGCTTGTGGCTAACCATGCATTTGGTATTACTATCAAAGTGGAAGCCTAGCTAAGCCTACAACTTAAAACAACCAAAAACAAGCGCAACAGTCACATTCCCCAGATTACAAGATGACCTATCTATCAGACATGAACGAACTTCATATTTTATACATGCTTCTATGGTTTTTGCTAAGTACGAACATTGTCAACGCTGTTATTTCACCTGTTCCTCCAGTGCGTTGTTTTCCTCACTCAATTTTTCCAGCAGCTCGCCAACATTCTTCAGAGCTTTCAGGTCGCTGCCCACCTCCTTCCCCAGGAAATCCACTACAAACTCCTGCATTTCCCCAGAATCTGTTGAAAAAGATTCGCTGCATTGCCTGGTTGTATAAATGTGCTTTAAAGAGTGCTCTGACGGTATATTCGTTGCTTTCTCTAAAACCGTGGTAGCCGCCATCTTTCCACTCCAATGCTGTCAACAAATGCCCTAGGACCGGTACGGGAGGGAGGGAGGCGCTCGTTGATTGGCTGTACGTAACCCAAACAGTTCCTTCGTGCGTGGCTACGTGGCGCCGTTTTTATTTACTGGCGTAGGTTATGTGTGATCTCAAATTATCACTAATAGGGGTTATGCGCAACTTACTTCCGTATACTGCAAAACAGAAACATCCGTTTCCGGTTTGCGACTAGTATGAAATATGGCACTGTTCTACTCAAGATGTCTCCAAGAACTACCAAAGATGAAGATCACGGATGTCCACCGAATATGCAGTTCGACGTCTAAAACACCGGGCAGCAAGCTGGATAAGGGGTTTAAGCTATATGCTTCTTCATACATCCACGACTACGAAGGTAGAGTTATGTATCGGTTATCTTACAAACGGAGATGTAGCTAAGCTAGTTCGTAAGCTAACTAGCTAATGTTATCGATATTTACACCGAGCATCTGTCTGGTACACCAAAATAATGTAATACACTACCGGAAAGCTAATAGTAACTAAGCTTGTGTGGTGGAAATGCTAAATTTATTATGGCTAGCGACAGACCTGTGCTGTTACATTGATAACCTAATATATTTTTCAGCAGTATCAAATAAAGACACAGCGACAGGTGCTGTCAGCATCAGAGCATCATGTCACAGGTCTATGAAGAAAAACGAGAAGCCCCATAGCCTGAAAGTAATGTTGGTGAATGGTTGGCTGTTGTGTTTGTCCCCAGTGTGTTCCAGTTAAGGGACAATATGAATATGATCTTGAACATGCTCCTTTGACTATCCAGTCACAATGTTCTAGAGCTGTCATATTATGACATGTGTTGGACTCAATTCTACACATGCTTGGTAAATGCATGCCACGTTCATTTATGACGTTTGGCTACTTTTTTAAAAAAAAAAGGATGAGTTGAGGGATGGGTTGCCTTGTAAAGCTTTGAGGGTTCAAACAGACAGACAGTACATCAACATCTGGTGGCTTAAAAAAATTAGCAGACTAGTACTGAAACACTGTACAATATTTTTGTTCATGAAAGGACAAGTTTCTAGCAATTTGTGTGACATGAAAATAATTAATACAGTCTACATTTAAGTAGTTCACTGAGTGAACTGAAATAAAACAAGCTTCAGAGCTTTATCATCTGCCCATCTCTAATATTCAGGTCACTGGGGTGAAGTTAAGTCTGACAGTCCTTGATTCTTCATCACCACCAATTATTTCATGTTATTCATAGTCTGGCTATAACATTGTTGCAGTATAAATTCTTGTAGTCTTTTTTGAAATTATTGTAATTACCAAACTTACCCCAGCAACTTGATTGATTTTCAAATCAGTGGCATTTGTTTTGGCCACTGGTCAAGTATGAACATACTCCCAAGTCATTGTCAGTGTTTGAAAAAAATCTCTGCATATAATTACAGATAGTCCT